GCTGCCCACTGCGATCGTGGAGAGGCTCGTCCTTGCGACGAGCATACTTCATTCGTATGGTCATCAATGGGTTTGTCAGATACACTACAACCCCCGGCTGCGTCGTGGGCTCGGCCTGACTGATGGCGAAGGTGTCGAGCGACTGTGGTCAAGGCTAAGACGGTTGATTGGCGTTGAGCGGCGCTCATCAGTAAGTCCTAACTATAACCCGAATCTTTACAAGTTCTCTTACCATCCCCCTAGCGAACACGACGAATCTGGTTAATTGACCGCCAGTGTGACTATATCGTTACAGAACTTCAAGATGATTATGGCCAGTGGTTTGACCGGCGAATGGTGAAGAATGTATACAAGAAAGAGGTGAATGCGACACGACATCTGGAGCGAGATGGAATCCCCCAAGCCGAGCTACGAGAACTGTGGAAGCAGCAGAAAGCAGCCCAGCGCTCACGCCGTTCCCGTGAGTTTAGTTTACTTTCCCTACCAGTTTCTCAGCCTGACCTTTCCCCTAGATGCACCAGCACGTATTCGAAAGCAGCTTGCGAAAGTCTTTGAGCTTGAGAGCGAAATCGACACCCTGTCAGCAACCATCGCGGCAACGAGGGCATCAATCAACAAGATGGCCGAGCCTTCAGCAGATGCCCTAGCCATCCTCGCAGGTATGGAGGCTCACCACCGCGAGATGAAGAAGAAAGCCACCGACCTCTACGCATCTCTGAACCTTCCCGAAGACCACCCCGACCTTGCCGGCCTATCCATGGAGATTGTAACGCAGCTTCTGCTCGCTCGTGACCTGAAGATCAATCTACGGACGAGAGTGATAGGCCGATTGCAGGAATGTGACCGTCTAGATCAGGCGGTGGGTGGAGTCGGAGAAGCACTGGGTAAGGTCTCATTGTTCGTACCTTGTACTCAGCACAACTGACAGCAAACTGAATCCAGGAACTAGGCTGCACCAACATACGTGGAAAAACATCTCGCGGCGCACCAAAAGCCTCGAGAACGATATCCGCAAATTCAACAAGTACTGTGTCAACCTGGAAGCACTCTCACAAGCTCATCCCGACGCCCCATTTGTTGTGCCTCAACAACTCCCTCTCCAGCTCAATGCCCTCCGGGACAACGACACCTGCAATCTATGGGAAGATGTGTGGGTACTACGAGGAACCACGCCCCCTCGATGGTTAGTTGACGAGAAGGTCCGGCGTGGCATCAGACTGGTTCATGCCCTCGACCGTTCCCGGGAGGAAAGAGAACGTCTCTGCCGAGAATCGCAACATCTCCTGCGATGGTTTACCACTGAACTCCAAGCTCTGGAGATCATCGCACGGGATCCAACCTGTAAGTCGTCAACGAAGACCTAGAAACCCGCACTGCGACTGATTACCGTTTTAGACATGCGCTATAAGAGCATGATATGCCATCGACTCACAGAACATCGGCTTCATGTTGTGCAATGGTCCAGCTCAGTTGCCCCTGCCGCGAAATTCGAGGAGCGGGTGGCAGTCGTAAAGCAATGGCTTGACCAAGCCATTCCACCGTCCAATCCTCCGCCCGCCGCGACTCCCACAACCAGCACACCCCCACTCCGCTATGCCGCAAACCCCATCCTTCCCCCAAGCCCGTATTCCCCTGCTCACGATGCCCCAAACCCTACGCCGAACATGCCAACTGCCCGACTCATCCAAAGGCTCTCTCACCACGCTCGAGAAGAATCCCCAGTCACCGCCGTCTATCCAAACGACACACAGGCGTATTATGATGTCGACAGTGATACTGGGAGCGAGAGCGACCTGGAGATCAGTGAACCCCAGGCTCCCGAAGCTCTCACTCTTGCCGATGTTATCGACGAGACAGGCAATGACTCAGATGATGAAGATGAAGACAAACATGTCAGGGCCGATTGGAGTTCTCCGGTAAGTGATTTGCCCTAGATAACCTGTTGATGACGGCTTACCTTGCCCTTCAGAACGACTTACAATGTGATCCGCTTCTCTGGGCGGGTGTGCAGCAATCGAACAGGGCCTTGCAAATCAAGGGTTCATTTTCCTCAGAGCGGCAGTTCCAGTCGCACGTTCGAGTCCTATTCTCGAAGGAGGCCCTTGCCCGGATCGACAAGGAGACAGCATGGCTATCTGCGGACTGCGTCAATAGTTGTAGTGCCCTCCTCCAACATACGTTCGGAGGAAGCGAGTGCGCCCTCATCACCACGTTTGCGATGCAAACATTCCTCAACGACAAACGGCTGGGTCTGGGAACAGTTTGGCGACTGACTCGCGGTACAAAATACTGGGAGAAGAACGTCTGGATCATACCGATCCACGATCCCGAACGAATGTACTGGTGCCTCGCAATTGCACATTGGGAACGAAAACAAATTACAATCTTCAACTCTTTTGCAAGCCGCCCTGCCATGCAGGAATGGATGCCCGTAAGTTTCTCTTCGTAATGCCCATGCTGCCGCCCATCGTTAACGTACCATCTCCGCAGAAAATAGAGTCTCTTGTTTTGCTCCTGACAACCAACGCAAGTGACCAGGGGTATGCCATAGAGCTCAAGCTCTCTGAATGGATCGCCCGCCCTCTCGTGGTCAGTATGCTCAGTGAATTCATCTCGCGCGCCCTCGCTAACTCTCTTTCAGGTGTCACCGCTACAAACGAACAGCTACGACTGTGGAGTCTGGGTTCTCTGGATCACACTTGCAACGTTGCGGGGCTATGATGCTGCCCACATCAACGAGGGCGACATCCGGTTCTTCAGGAGATACATGTCCCGCTTGATTCGTACACTACCTACATTCCCTTGATCTGTACGCTACATATCTACTCGTAGTATACCTGTGGTATTATAGGAATCAAATGAAGTGTTTTGAAGCTCAGCTTATCAAGCGCTTGACTGTTTAAGAGCAATGTGCGCGAACACACTAACATTTGGACCTACAAGTACTAATCTATACACTTTATATCTTCCCCTGTCTGAGTACTGGCCCTAGCCCCTCATATGCCCTAGCTCGTTGTGATTGTATGCCCCGATGAGCTGCGACAAGCCCACCATTGCCTCACACTCCAAATCGTTGACCCACAACACTGCCTGCTGAACCTCGAAACGTATCTCCTTGATGCGAGTCCATTCGCTGACGGGCCCGACCCTTCGGTATACACGGTCTATGAGCTGGCGAAGCTCCTTATCCATGATCTCCAGAGGGCGAATTGATTGGGTGAACCACGCCGAATCCTTGGGGGCACCCTTGAGACCTGAGTTGATGTATTCATGGTACAGGCCGTCAACGTATGCCTTGCGATTGCCCACAAACTCGTTGTAATCGTTGGAAATGCACTGAGCGTCATCTATAGCCTGTTTAATGAACGTTTGACGGTTTTCTTCCTCTGCTCTAGCGCGGAGCCTATGAGAATTAGGTAGTCAGTGAGGTTCGCAGCTTCATTGTTCATTCGGCGCACCTCTCCTGGTCCTGCGTCTCCCTTTCCAGCTTCTTGCGTTTGTGTTCCTCCTGTAATCCCAGTGCGCTTTTCCTCTTCACTTCAGCTGCTCTGAGAACCTCCGCACGGGCGCTCGCCGCCTTCTCCTGTCGCCGTGCCTTCAGTTCATCACAATTCCTGCCATTTGTATCAGCTTTCCAAGGAACTAATGGCAATAGAGAACATGTACAGTACCTGTTACGATATCTCTGAGCACTGGCGTTGTTTGCCGTCCGACGCTCCTGCTGTGTGCGATATTTCTTAGGACGAGCCATGGTGGTAGTTGGCAAAAGTATGAATGCAACTAGATTTTCGGTTCCTTCGTGTCATCATTTTTTGTTTGAGGTGATTGGGAGAACGGGGCACAAAGATCTTTGGGAATTGCAGTCTAGTAGCAGCCTAGATCATGCAGGCGAAGTACCGGGGTGAGAATATGGGTGAGTGAACACATATAACGAAATATGTTTTCTCCAGACTCTCTCAAAGGCACCGGCAATTTCTGCCGGTCAGGCACCCGCTCTGCCACCTCGGGCAAGCGCACCGAGAACTCCGAAGTACAAAGCAAGCCAAAGCGACGCAAAACTGAGCAGTTTATCGTAAATAAGGTTTGAGCCACAACATCTCGACTCACCTAGTAGACGGACAAAACTAGAAGCTCAAAAACTCCAACGCCCTCTCAAAAACATGGCCGATGCCGATTCCAATAGTAAGTTTCATTCTATTCTATTCTTATCATACCTAACAGCATATGTCAGATCTCGTATTAGACCCCGGTAACCCACGCGTAAACGAAATCAGCGTGGGCACATCTCCATATGACGCATCTTACTCGGACTATGTTCATGCCCTCGGCCCGATTTTCTCAGTTCTGATGTCTCAAATCCAAGACATGGAAGGACCCACTCGTGAGGCTCATCGTAAACAATTCGCGAACCGTGTAGTGAATACCTGGCTTGGGGAATGGGGAGATGAGTCGGTGCGTCTTGAGACTAGCGGGGAAAAGCGCAGCGAGTGCAAGGTCAGTGTCCCTGACCTATCTGTTCCTGGCTGCTGATCGTCATTTGTTTCCCAGGATATCATCACCCACATTGTCATGGAAAGCTCCATGGCGGCGTACCTGTCCATCAAAGGTCTTCAGCCAGCGTTGGACTTCGAAACACCTTGGGAAGATCAATTACAAACTGTGCTGGAGAAAAGTCGATTCACCCGATGGAAAGAAGCCGAGTACGCTCAACGTCTACAACCGTCCGAACCTTTGGAGGATCCCGCAATTGAGGCTTTGAGGGGGCTGTCCTGGGAAGAGGGCTGCAAGAAGCTGATGCAGGAGTGTCGCAAGGAATCAGGGATTCAGAAAGAGAAGAGGAAGGTGGAGGAGGGACGAACGGAGACGTGGGTCCACTTGTATCATTAGGGAGACTCTGTGTAAACCTTCTTCATTGCGAGCATAAATGTACTTTCCTTTTTTTTGTGAAGTGTGGGTTGGGAAATTCGGGGTATAGCCAGTGCACACCTCAGGTCTAACACGGTGAGGTGGCCTAGAGGTTAAGGCGCCTGGTAGATATGTTAATCGATCTGTAAATATCTCCAGGAGACTCCCGGTTCGAGTCCGGGCCTCACCATGAAAGTCATTTCTTGAAGCTTTTGAAACGTAAGTGAAGGATAAATGGAATATACCGAGCTACACACCCTGCCAATGCAACGGTGAGGTGGCCTAAGGGTTAAGGCGCCTGGTACAGATTCCCCCACCTGGCAATTTTCGGGAATCACCAGGAGGTTCCCGGTTCGACTCTGGGCCTCACCAGTTGAAATCGTTCCTTGAAGTTCTACGTTGACTTCGGGGAACGAGTTCTTTTATTCCCTCGCCCTCAAAGATTTTCTATACAACGCGATCTTTAGTTTTTCATTATCTACTTTTCCTCGCAAACGACGTTTGGCCGCTTCCGAATCTGGTATGTGCTTCCGAATCCGGTATGTGGAAACAAACTTAAGCACAGCTGCCGCCAGCAAACCATCTTGATCCTTCACCTCCACTATGCCCCTCGAGCCTCTCTACATTTTCCACTTACTTCATATCTCATATGGCTTATACGCTCACGATGCACAACATATTCAACTCAACCGATATCTGGATTATGGTGAGTCTGGCCAAGATTCACATACACGTTTTGCACTAACGTCGAAGTTCCTTCAGCGGAAGAAGAAGTTTGCGTTGCCCCGACAGCCCAAGTCGCCGATGGAATCGTTCGGCTTAGTATCAGGGCAATTTTCTCGAGCTTTTAAAAGGCATTTGGGCTTCCAAGTGCCCCTGCCCTCCGCCCCACTTCTTTCCTTCCAACTACCACTGCCCTTCGTGCCCCATTCGCACTTCGCTATACCGGCCTTCAACTCGTCTACTGATTGGAATTTGAATCTTGGTGAGATCTCTATCGTCCTCTGCCTCGCACACGCATCTCATCGCGTTTAACCAGCTCAAACCGAGATGCATATCCCTCAAGCACCTCTTGCACGCACCGACTCGGAGGTAAAGTATTCATTCTACATGTATCGAGCTTTTTGACTGAATAACTGTTCTCTGTAGGATATTTTCGATGGCCCTGGCAGCATTACTGCAGAGGAAGCCGCGAGCATCCCCGATGCGCTTCTTGACGCGTCAATCGCGACCGACACTGCGCCTAGCACCTCGACCCCACGAGCAAAGCGCTCCATCTCGCTCAACCCAAAGTCCCCCAAGTTTATAAGGCGAATGGCCTCGAGTCGGGCAACAGACAACCCAGGAGATGGTGAAGCCGATATTGAGGGTAGCTGTCCTAAAGCGCTAGACGCTAGGACTACAGGAACAGCGGCGGCGGATGTCGACTAGCAGAGACGACGACAGAGACGACAGAGGTAGCGAGCAGAGGGCAAGAGCAGGTAGATAACTGGTCCCAACGACAAGTCAGATACATTGCAGATAGAGAAAGACAGAAATAACTACTCACCTGGTCCCAACGACAAGAGGTCAAGATGAGGGACCAGGTGTAAACTACCTAGCTTATATACCCAGTCAGAGGTCTGAGATATGAGTCGTGAACGAATAGGAAAGACAATAAGAAAACAATAAGGAAACAATAGTAGTCAAGTATACAACAATAACGAGTCCAGAATGAGTAACTAGGAGATGAGAGAAGACAATAAGAACAATAGAATGAATGGGTCGTGAAGAAGGTGTAAAAGACAATAGTGTGAGAAGGAGATATGTGGGAAGGGGAAACGGGCGTCTGGTAGGCGTCGAAGAAACAAGTAAGCGCTGAAAGGGGAACAGGCGCTGAGAAAGGAAAAGATAGGGGGAAAAGCGGCACTTCATGACAGTAGCTCAACGCCAGGGCTACCACCTTCAGTACCTACAGTGGGTCTAGTGCCGCCGTTTCCCCCCTGGCTTGGCCCTTCCGCTGGTCCTCCTCCACCATGGCTTGCCCAAGGCCCCTCCGCCGGTCCTCCTCGTACCTTCTCCCACTCACCAACCCCACACCCAACCGCAATCAACCCTCCGTGGTTTCCGATGCCTCCCCTGCCAATGTACAACGCTCCGACTCCTACAAACGCCCCTCCTGCTGCTGAAAGCCAACCCGAGGCTACGGATGCAAACACCCCTCTTGCCGTTGAATCCCAACCCGAGGCTACGAACCTATCCGCCCAACCTGACGCTCCAGCTGCGCCCAGCACTGTAGACTCCACTATCAGATCTGAGACGGCCCCCGAGCACTCACAATCCACGATCGCACCCACCACGCCCTCGAAAAAAGCTGAACCCACGTCGCCGACCACCCCCAGAACTGCAGGCCGATATTCGAAGGATGACACTGCAAGAATGGAGATGGGCTTCGAGGAGATGGACAAGACCATCGGGAAAATTGCAGAGAAACTCAACGTAGCACCCAAAACGATCTATGCACGATACATCACGAGGTCCAGCTATCGCTCGCGTGGAGGCAACGCATGGAACAGCTATGAGAGGTACATAAAGGTGACAAAGTACATGCTGCTCGAGATGGCTCGACTCGACAACGACCCCGACCTCAAGTACGACTTCGATACGAAACCAAGCCCCACCGCCGACCAAGTATCAGCTTCATGGCAACTCTTCAAGGAGCACCATGGCGTACAAGAAGCGGAAGAACTGATGGCCGTGTTTGAGGAGTGCCAAGAGCAAGGTACCTCGCAGACCAAAGGGGCTCGCCAACGAGAGTTTGACACTCTCGTCAAGAACCTCACGACGATTGTAAGTCCTCCGCAACAGTCTCTACCCTCCGATAATAACCCCCCACCTACAGGGCCGTCAAGCTCGCAATCGCTCGCACTTCCATGTTGTGGCCTTCGCTGTTGGTGGAATGGTCAACGAGGACCAGTCACTGTCATTCGTGCTTGAGAACGACGAAAGCGAGGGTGTAAGCACTACCCATTCTTTCCCGCTGCCCTCAAAACCCATCTCATCTCATCCCCTGCAGTTCGTTGAGAAGAAACTACATATGACAAAGGACAGGATTGTCGGCCGTTTACGAAGCCATCTCCAGTAAGTACAATGCACGCCCGTGACCCAAACAAACGTTAATATATTATTCTAGCGACCAAATCGATGAAGGCCTGCGTATTGACGAGATCATAGCAGCGGCAGAAGCATATGGCCTCACTGTCGCTGGACCACCAGTCGAGAAGCTCAAAACTACAAAGGGCGATTGTCGAACGACCCTCCTCGAACGTGCCGGTAAGTAAAACCGACACCGAACATATCCTGGCATCACCACTGATCATCGGGCTAGCGGAATGCAATATCACCTTCAAGCACAATCGGTTCCCTGCCAAGAATATGAAGCAGGACTTCATGAAGTCTGGGATCGCCATCAAGAACTGGCCCCCGAATGTGATGATTCCGTGGGAGGGTGACGTCGGGAAAAAGGGCATTCTCGCCCTTCCGAAGGACCAGCAGGCACTTGTTATCGACTACTGCCTTCGGGATGACGACCGCAAGCTCCGCTAATGGACGTCGTAAGTAGAAGGGATAATCAATACACAAAAGTGCGGGTGCAACTAACACTTCTACGAGTCCAGAGAATGCTAGGAATGTGTCGGCTTGACAAAGGTTACGCCCTGCTAAAGATAGACAGAACAATAGGTAACTCCGTCGGTTATAACTTGGAGACTGGTTGATTCGAAGGGAAAAAGGTAAAGACAAAGAAACGAGACAACGGTTCAAAAATACGATCTTCGACGGACGAAACACCTCTCGACGGGCGATACGACTAGACCTCTCGATGGATCTTATACGACAACGACGGACGACAAGACC